GCTACGATTTCTTTTCCCTGCATGTCAGTGTGTGAGCTATGCTCACTTACTTGAACATGTGATTCCTAGTCACCAAATGTATTTTATACCACCTTTCTCATCGTCTGAATGTCTCCTGCTGAGTGTGGCTTTTACAGCAAATCCCATGTGGCTCACTGGAGAGAGTCTTGCCCAGGCAGGGGATTTGATGAGACCTAACTGGCACTCTGCAGTTCTTGTTTCTATTACTTCATCTTATCCTTACACTGCAAAATTCTTTTGGTAGAAAAAGGATTTTTAGAAACCAGAAACCAAGCTATTTTTAGGGCAAGCTAATAAAGCAGCTTATATGAAGGCTGGGGGACATGGAATCTCTTCTGCTCAAGACTGGTTGATATTAATGATGCCTTCATATTGGCAAACATTATAAGCAAGCTATTGTACTGGCAGGTTTGTTACTCTGGAGGGATGAGCAAGTCTCTGAGAGGCTAGAGATGGTGGCACATTTTCTAGTTCATTTTCCATTCCTTGTGATTGTCTCATCCGTTGTAGAAATCTTTGCTCCATCTTCGCTACTATTTGGCATAAGTTCAGTCCTGGTCACCCTAGCCTGAGTGCACCTATCTACCTGTGGGACTGCACAGTTGTCACAATACCTTGGCATGCTGAAATCAACAGTATTTTCTTCAATGGATGCTGCAAGGTTTCTTGGAGTCCAAGCTCTGTTTTAATTATTATTTTGATTTTTTTCCTGCTTCTGGGTTGGGGTTTTTTTTTGCTATTTTTTGATTCAGGTATAGTCACTTCTAAACACCCATTTTTCTCTCTTCTGCCTCCATCTTGCTGCCAACCTTTGGTTTGAAAAGGCATATCTATTACTATTATGGTGATTCAGAAACACTTCAAGTAGACTGTCTGAAGAATGCTAGAAGCTTTTGACCAATGATCTGGAGACACTTGTTAGTCCAGGTTGAGAATTGTATTAATAGATTACAGGACCTTTTTGTTGCTCGTTACTTGGGTGTAGTATTTATCTGACTCTAAACAGGGCTATCAACATGCTGTTCTTAAGCAGCTAGCAGAGAAATCAGGCTTATGGTGTTCTCTGCTTTCTAATAAATAACCTTGTATATTCAAAATTATTTTGTTTTGCCTTTCCTTTTTTACTCTGCAGTTTCCCCCACAGGTCCCATTCTGGACATGCATGGGGGAAACTGCAGAGGAAAAAAGGAAAAACTTAATGGGTTACTGTTATTTTGTTTGCTTTGGGAATTTATACCTGCCTCTTTCAGTTTCCTCAAAACCTGGAGTACCATGTGGCTGTTGGCTGGGATCTCTGTGCTGCCACTATATGCATAATGAATCGTCATAAAACTCACTTTAGGTGGGCTGGGGGAGGAGGTAAACACAGCAACTCAGGGGGGCAGGCTGTAAACTACTTTGTGGGTCCTCTGACTTCCCTGCTTTGTCTGTGACAGATGCGCAAGACAGGTGATGCTGCGCCAGTTCTCATGTCCTTCCTATGCGCAAAAATGTTGTCGGAAGGGGATAAAACAGACTCTGGGAATCCTGATGTCTAAGGATTAAGGATTTATGGATGTTTGATATACAGACAAGAAAAAGCTGTGGAAGGACGGGTGAGATTACTACTGCAGCATGGTACTCAGCTGCCTTGAATAATGTCAGCTGGGGGCAGCAGGATACCTGCTGGGAGATCAGGAGGCTGTTCGTCCTTCAGTCTCTAAGTGACCATGTGCTGTACTGAAAGCAAAGCCCAGCAAATAAGGTTGCTAGTTATATTTTTTTAAGGCATAGAATGGAAATCAGTTCTCTGTCCCTAGCTGTTCAGTGGGGTTTCCTTTGAGAAACCGAACATAACTTGCTGAATATGATGTACTGAGTTTAGCTTTACTATACATTTCAATGGATTCCCACAGACCATAACACAAGTTATCTCAGGTCGAGGGTGTCTACAAACACAGAGGCTCAGAACAGTGTTACTGTTTTAGCCTTTCTGTTGTTCTATCTAGAAATTTGCAGGCTTTTGTCCTGCTTCAAAATCAATTGCAAGTGAGTGTCCTGCTGATGAAAAGGTCCTTATGGCTGTACCAGTCCTGGAGAATGACTCTTTTTCAGCACTTGCAAAACAAAGCACAGAGAAGATCATGTGCTTCTTGAGTGGAAGAGACCAGCCCTGTTCTGGCCTTGTGCAGTCTTTGGTCCCTTTGGCCTGTTTGTTATAGAAGCCTTGTGAAATATAGTCATGAAAGTTACGAATCTATTTTCCCCAAGCAGATTTCAGAACAATGTCAGTGATATGCTGGAATATCATCCGCCAGTGGCACCCTGTGTAGCACAGGGCACTTCTACAGGTAGATGTGCATTGCTTTTAGCAGTTCTCCTGTAGCGATCAAGGCTGGAGAAAAGAGGGTGTGATGGTGTGGTCCAGACAACCACTGCACTGTGGCTGCTAAGAAGTAGGGTAATGCATCAGAGCACAAGGTTAAGTTGCGCTGATGTCAAGGCAGAGATGAAGCAGATCCTACTCTTAATTCCTGCTCTGTGAAGTCTGGAGAGAAAAGCAAACACTGAGCTGGTGTCAGAATGTATTTGTACCTGGCAGAATGAACAGGATCCCTTATCTTACTTGGACAAGCTGTGTCAATCAGCCGAAAGCAACAGGGCTTTGTAAGGTTTCTTGTCATCCCAGGCAAAGGCAAACTCTCTTGGTTTTGACAGGGTCATCTCTGGAGGTTAAGTTATGAGTCTGTGTGTAAGATGCTGTTGTGAAGCTGTGTTGAGATGTTTTCATTGTTGCAGTTCTGGTGCCTTGGGATGGGGAGAGGATATGGTAATTTTCCTACAAAGGCTGTATCTGCCTTCTGATGTGTTGTGATCTCTACTGCATATTCAGGTTTTGACTGAGAGAATAAGCCACAAATCTAAGTTGTCCCACTATGTTTTTTGAAAAAAACCTGCTCTCTTCCCTACCTGCAGCCCCCACCAGTTCAGGAGACCTTGAGTCTTACTGATCTCTTATGTATACACGCTGTACCTGACACAGACTCAAATCTTGGGCAACTCTTGGGCTTCATTCAGGCGATGAGAAAGGTAGTATAAAATACATTTTGTGACTAGGAATGACACATTCAAATAAGTGAGCATAGCTCACACCCTGACATGCAGGGCTCTTGGGCTATAACTGTGTGGCTCAGTGCTCTGCAGGCACCCAGCTTGGTTACTTGGAGCAATATATCTCTGCTCAAAGTAAAAATAAATTAGGCTGTGTCCAAAGCTAAGCCTTAGCTCTGCTAACTCTGTGCAACAGTGTAAATACATGACCATAGCAGTAGATTGAAATTACAGTAAGTTCTATGAACATGACTGAAACCAAGCTCTTCAGCTATGATTCATTAGTCTGCTCTTCTGGTTGCTCTTAGCCACTTGCAATGTCAAGTATCAGAGAAGCAGATAGTGGGCTGCATAAACAGGATGGAAATGAAGGTCCCACATCGAAAACATTACTCATTGTAGTTTGACTTTTCCTCTTTTTAGTTCAAAGGGAGAATTTGCAGAATCAGCCCCCTTGAGATTTTTTTTCAGTTGCTTGGAATTACTGCCCTGTTATGTGCATCAGCGAAAATCTATGCAACTTCTTTCCCTACTGCGTG